TGTTGTAGGTTAAGGATATTACCCAGGGGGTGAATTTGACTTGCTATGTGTAACAGGAAATGTCTGCCTGGAGGGACACATAAGGTGATGCTACCAGCTTTTTCTGAGAGGACAGATGATGGTAGAACTCTTAAGGAGATGTGAGAAGTAGATGCAATGGAGATATGTGGCATCGGCTGTCTGTAATTGAGCAGAAACTGTAAGAGAGAGCAATATGGAATTGTTTAAGAAGATGGTGCTGGCAGGTGAGAGTCTGTGCAAGTCAGAGGAAGGGAAAAAATTGCAACCTGTAACTTTTATAGCAGTATTTCTTTAAAGTTTTGTCTAACTGCACAAGGTTCAGAATCCTAGGATAGCAGTTGGGAGTGAGGCTGGTTTTTCCTTTTTGTTAAGTCAAAATGCTGGTACAACAGGCACTTGTGCAGAGGCAAAGCCAGCATGCATTGTCTGGAGCTTCAAACAGACCGCATTCTCTTGGGGATGTGTAATAAGTACAGGCACTTGTTTTCCACATGATGCTGCTTCTCTTTTGATTCTTTCTTAATGCCTCACAGGACCTGCTGGCTGGGGGGCAGCAAACCAGCTGGAGTATTCCTATGATGATTTTGTTGATGCAGCACAAGAAGTCGACTTATCCAAGCATTTCTCTGCCTCTGTAAAGGCAGGCCCTGCTCGAGTCAAAAGGCATAAGCTGAATGTTCCAATGACTGACCACAAAATCAAGTTAATATTTAACATCACAGGTGAGAGAATTCAAAATATCATCCCTTTCCTATTCCATCTTTTTAAAAAACATGTTTCTAGTTCATTCACTAAAACTTAGCCTTCAGTTCACAAAGCTGTCTGGAGATGCAGATGATGGTTTTCTGGAGACGTTCATAGCCCCATTTCATCACACATATTCTGCATGGGGGAAAGATCACAGCCTCATGTTCATGGAGATCATTGTGCACATGGCCTACTTTCCACTTTCCACTGGCAAGCTTGAGTGTTGCATTCTTGATATACTCCAGAGTATGCTGGAAGTGCTGACTTTACAATCTGTGTCCTTTTTGTGATTTCTGTTTATATCCCAGCTAGCGTGCCACTGCCTGATGAAAGGAATGATACACTGGAACTGGAAAACCAGCGACGGCTCCTCAGAACTCTGGAAACAATCACAAACAGGCTGAATAGGACTCTCAATAAGGAACCCATGTATTCTTTTCAGTTTGCATCTGAACTCATTGTAGCTGACAGCAACTCACTGGAGACTGAGAAGGCCTTTCTTTTCTGCAGACCAGGTTCTGTGCTGAGGGGCAGAATGTGTGGTAAGCCAGATGACTTGCTCCTTGCATGTATTTAGAATCCTTTTGAAACACAAGGTTTCAGAGGATGTTTGCAGAGGGTTACAGTTTGACACAGTCCAGTGCTTGTGGTCTCCCAGAACAATAAACTGCAAAAATACTGTGCGCAGTTTGACTTCCAAAGGATGTTTATGTTCCTAACCAAGGCCTGCGGAAAAAGGACACTCTGGTACCCAGGATTCCACTCCCATGGGGAAATCAGGCATATCCACACTTGGTGATACACAGGAAAACAGTGCTTGGTATGCAGTCTTTTAACCCTGTTAGTCTTGTTGGTGATGCATAGCTAAGAGAGGGCATAGGGTTCCCTTTTCTGTGCATTGTGAGATCTTTGCAGTGTTCCAGAGAGAGGCCCCATTTGCTGAGAAACAGAGCCACATTTCACATAAACAGGGTTTGACGAAATGGGAACTCCAGAGGCAAAATAAGTATGTATGGTTGTGCATTCTGAGGGGAACTTTATGTTTCCAACGTTACAGTCAACTGCCCTTTGGGTACCTATTATTCCCTGGAGCATCGTACCTGTGAAAGCTGCTGGACTGGATCCTACCAAGATGAGGAAGGGCAGCTGGAATGCAAAAGTTGTCCATCTGGTAGCTATACTGAATATCTACACTCTAGGAGCATCTCTGAATGTAAAGGTGAGGACTTTGTTTTCTTCAGGCAGTCTCTTCTGAATGCCGAGTGACATCCTTTTAGTCCCCATTGTGGGAGTATTGGAATGAGGTTAGCCTGTGAAATGAGAAGCAGTCCTAACTCTCTCGATGCATATGTAAAGAGAAAAACCCAGATTTTCATCTCTGCTGTGTCATGCAGTATGGCTGGGCAGATATTTTAAGAAGACCTGGCCTTTGAAGCTTCATTTCATTTCTGTCTTCATGCTGTGAGATTGTGAGCCCATTTTGCAGGCACTAGCATGCTTAAAATAATATCATTCTTGTCCTTGCCAGCCCCTCTTCATCCTACGGTCATCAAAGATGAAATGTCTGCATCCTACACTACAGTGCTGTGGCATTGAGCACCTCAGCACCTCTATATCTTTGTGACTTGCTCTCAAAAAGACATTGCTAGGTTTATTTCCTTTTATTATCTTATCTTTAATTTTGTTGGTTAAAAATTAGTAACTCAGCTGCAATAAATAATCTGTGAAGCTGATTGGAAGAGAATTAACTGGTTAATAATTCACAAATGCACTATCAGTAACTTACCACAATTCCTTTTTTTTTTTTTTCTCTTTGTACCCATGAAGTCCTTCACAGTAAACCCTAGAAATAAAAGTCCCTGTGACATGCATTGTGATTTCAGAATTATTTTCATAGGTTAGGAGCCATGTTTCCTGTTGGACAATGCTTAATTGTTATGAATTCTTCTGCCTTTTAGCTCAGTGCAAACAGGGAACGTATTCATCTAATGGTCTTGAGACCTGTGAAACATGTCCACTTGGCACATATCAGCCAGCATTTGGATCCAGGAATTGCATTTCTTGCCCAAAAAATACATCAACAGTAAAAACAGGCGCAGTGGATGTCTCAGCTTGTGGAGGTTTGTAACCAGAGAGGCTATGAAATTTTTTTAATTTAGCTCTAAAAATTTCTAAATGCTATTTAAACATTAGCTAATGTAATCCAATTCATCTGCCTGAGATTGAATTCTGCTTCTGCTTAAGTATGGACCAAGCACCATTTCCCAGCAAAATGATAGGTCATTTCCTGATACTCTGATTATTTCAAATGGACTCCTTCTGATTTCCAAGATGGATTCTTATCTAAAGATAAATAAAATGAGATAGGTGATGGGTACCTACATGAAAATAAAACCTTTTTCCTTAGAGAAGAGAAAGGGAATGACAGGATGTTGGTCACTGTTATGTCCAGAAGAGCTTCCACATCTTCTGTACAAAAATGCTGAATTTTAACACGGTTTGTTCTGTAACGTTTTTTGAAAAATTGTCCTCAACTGTCTTTGGGAAGTTTTGCAGGCATTAATGGTAGAAAAGACATGTCTTTTGTCCTTACTCCTTCTGGAAGGAGAAAAACAAACAAACAAACAAACAAACAAAAAAAAGTCCCAGGTTTGAGAGAGAAAATGGAAAGGAAGTTGCCTTCAAAAGCTGTCCCTGGAGCAGCAAAAGGAATAGATAGAAATACTTCCCAGATACTTCCATAGTCCTTTGAGAACCACATGTCACCTGACAACCGCATGTCACAATTTAAATAAGCATCTCCGAAGTTGTGGATTTCTGTCAGGTTTCACCTTATTCTGTTAAGTCTGAGGAGGAACTATGAAGGGAGGAGAGAAAATGACCAGAAAGAGGTGGGGGGAGCTAGTGTGGGAGTGCAAGTAATCACTCAAAAAAAATGTCCTTTTGTTCTTGCAGTACCATGTCTTGCAGGCGAGTTTTCTCGTACAGGTTTGACACCTTGCTACCCTTGTCCCAGAGACTACTATCAGCCAGACCCAGGAAGGTCCTACTGCTTGTCTTGTCCCTTTTATGGAACAACAACTGTCATTGGTGCCAGATCCATCACAGATTGTTCAAGTAAGCCAAATTATCTCTGCTGGAGAAAGCGAGTAAAGGGAACATCTGAAGGATGGCCAGCAGTAGTCTTAACAGAAAACATCCCACTTACTTTCCTAACAAGTGTAGACCTACCCTTTCAACCAGTGAAGTTCACAGCTGGCTTTTGCCTGCTGGTGTTACCTCTTTGTTATGTAGAAGGAGTGACTGTGTGATGCGTACCAAGGCTCAATAACAAAGTATGCAGAATGTGTGTATGTACACACGCACACTCACACACTGTATATGTGTACTGTATGTACACGCTACAGAGAGAGATTTATATATACACAAATATTTATATGCATCTGTGTGTTTATGTGTAAACACACCTAAAATATATTTGATGTGTACACATATATGTTTTAGATATGTATGTGCTTTCAAACACATATTTGTGTAAAATATATATAAAATACTATGTGATTACTGTAAAGTTTCCTTTTTATTTCCACAAATTCACTTTTTTCAGCATATCTTTAGATGTATTACTAACATGCAGTTATTATTCCCTTATGAAACAAGGACCTTGCTGTACAATATTATTAACAGCACTTTTGTGTCTTTCCTCTTCAGGTTTTGGCTCTACTTTTTCAGCAGCTGAGGAAAGTGTAATGATGGTACCAGCCTCTCCAGAAAATATCAGCAAACAGTACAAAGTCAGCAGTCAGGCAAGGACAAGATATATTTTCCAGTGTTATCTCAAATGAAAGAAAGAGTGCCTTTTTCAGCAGTAAATGACTAAGGCCCTTTTAAATGTAATTGTTATGCTAACTGTATTTTCTGAAGAGATGAGAGTGATGGTCATGAGGGGAACACTCAAGCTCTCTTTGTAATCATAGAAGCACTTCTCCTGAACAAAGGCGAGCGCATCAGCTATTGGCAATCTTAAATTCTGGACCTGAAGACTTCACCTGATATATGAAATACTTGTCATACTTATAAAATAAATATAAACTCCATGAAGGAGGTTCAGCCAATCTATAAAAAGTAGATTGACCACTCTTCTATGTGCTGAATTCCAGAAAAAATGCTACCAGGCATCTAAATCCCAGTTGTAAAATCTTTATTTTACTTATTGCAACATAGATACACTTGAGAGAAGGCAAGCAGAGCTCACTTCTGCTGTGAGTACCCCCTTTGAAATAACAGGCAAGCCTTCAGATGATAGAAACTACTCCAGTGACATTTGCCAGAGATGCCTTCTTACCCCCACCATCTCCACCCAGACTGTAGCTCTGACAAGACTGCTTTGTTCGAATCTAAAATTAGGATATTGCGTAAACAGGAGCAAAGTTGACTGATGATAAATTTGACCTGAACCATTATGTAACATATGGACGGACATGTGACAAACTGTTCTCCTATGGTTTTAGTTGACCATTTACTCAAGGGCTTTGCTGAATTCAGATTTGCTACGTTGGGAAAAATAATGCCACAGAGTGAAGTTCCCTACCAGTTCACCTAGTGACCAGTAGCAGGAAGTGATTAGCCAGTGTAAAAGGATGTAAAGTGGAGAACTCTCATATAAAAGATAGCATAATATAAAATGTCATCTGTGAATCATAGCTAAGAAAGTTCTAAGGGAACTACTGCTATGATCAAGTTTTGCTAAGTAAAAGGTCACATTAAAATAATAATTCAGATTCCTGGTATTTTTCTATAGAAAAAAAAATGGTTGGTGTGCTGAGGTGACGAAAGAGGAAGAACTAGTAGTTAATACCAGTGACTTCTTTTTCCCAGCTTTCCAGAGTGACTATAGGGTATGCAGTTTAAAATTAGAATATTTTGTTCACCTGTATTTCCACCTTTACTCTAATTGTATCATTCTTGCCCCTGGCAGGTCTTTCATGAGTGTTTCCTGGAACCATGCCACAACAATGGGACGTGCAAACAGTTGGGAAGTGGATATATTTGCATATGCCCACTTGGATACACAGGTAAAAAATTGAGAGGCAGGGGGAGAAGCTAACATGTCTCTATGTTCTTAACATGAGCAAGCATAGAGGGGCAAAACATTTCAGTGCAAGAGTATAGCCTAGCTAATTGGAATGTCCATCACAGATTTACCATACATGTGTGATATGAAAAGAAATAGCTCCTCATGTTCTCGCTGAATTATATCATGTTTGGCAGGTAAGGGTTTTGGATGGGGATTCTTTTAGTGGAGTTAGTGGATTTGAAAATCCTATCACTTATCGATATTTGTAATTAGCAAGTCTGGAAATTTGCACTCTAAACAGCTAATTCCACCAAATCTGCCTGTACTCCTCTTCACTGTTAGCTTCCCACTTGCTTCAAAGCAAACAGATCAAGAAGTGATATCTGTTACTTGTGATTGATAGGTATTAGGTGCCACTGTCTGGAACTGATTGGTCTGTTGTCTAATGTGCATCATACTTTTCTGTTAGCATTTTGTCTCAGGTCTGTGTTAAAAGACAATCTAAAGAGGAAATAACAAACCTGAATGTCTGGTAATGTACGCAATTAGTCAATCATATTTTCCTACATTAAGTAGTCATGACTTCTGTGTTTCTGAAAAATCTCAAGTTTTGTCTCCCTGTTCTCAGTCCTTTATTTGGTATTCTAGGATTGAAATGTGAAGCAGAAGTTGATGAGTGTAAATCATCTCCTTGTCAAAACAATGGAATGTGTAAAGATGGCATTGGGACCTTTGTTTGTCATTGTCAACCAGGCTATTCAGGTAATTTCTTTCACTTCATAGCTCTTCTTCAGACAGGCGTTGTTTCCATGCCAGGCAGATGACACAAAACACAAGGATTGTATAATTCCACAAATGTGGAATTAACACAGGAAAGCAATCTGATCTACAGGTTAGAGTAAGGTTCTACTAAATGTGAATAGGTTTTGAAATAAAAAGATGAACATTCAAGGACAGTCTATGTGCATGTTTGTGCATGTATGCTTGTGTTTTGTGAAATTTCTAGTGTGAAAAAAAAAGGGAATGAAATGTAGGGAATTAGTAAATATTCATAGGGTAGTCATTAGTGAATACTCATAAACATGCTTGTGAAACTGAATGTGGCCTGACTAGACAAAGCGTTTATGCAGTAGTTTTGCTGCAGCCCTATGAGTAAGTGGGTGGGCTTTTTCTTACCTTTTTTCTCAGTCTTTTTAGTTCTCACATGTTGTGAGAATTATGCATGTTGAAGGTATTGAAATCTGTGGGGAAACTGACATGGTTGAGTACTTTGCCAAAACAGCACCTAATTTCTAAATATTGAAATAAACTTTTGAGGAGATAATTTTGTATGATTAAAAAAAAGGCCTGGTGTTTTCCACCAGAACACCACTCTCATTTTTCATGTTTATGGCTATACATTTATTGACAGCAATGCTTGCTGGGTATTTTTTTGTAAAGACAAACCATGGACTTTGCATCTTTCACATTCCAACATCTAAATAATGCAGATGATCTCTGTAGATAGTCGCAGTAGTGCAGTCAAACATGGAATTTTATCACCTGATCTCAGTAACCTTTTGTTATACAAGCACTATGGTGCTGTTCTATCTTCTACTTTCAGTCACTGCAGCATGCAGACCTTGAGTATGTTTTGATCATGCCTTGTAACCCTTGCTGTTTGAAGGTCTCTTGTGTGAGGAAGACATAAATGAATGTAGCTCCAGTCCCTGTTTGAATGGAGCCCACTGTGTTGATGACAAGAACAGTTACCGCTGCACTTGTGCAAAAGGGTTCACAGGTACACCTTTTTCTGTTTAAGTCAGCTTTCACTCTTTCTGACCAAAAAAGAAGTCTTCCTACCCTGACGAAAGTATTTCAGTCTCATTGCTATATATTACATATGTTATGTTTGATATAGACATAGTAGATTCCCTAGGTCCACGTAATCTGAGTCGCTGTGGTGTAAGTGTGTCTTTAGAACAATTTACTAAATGATCTATCTTCTAGTCCTAGTTTTGCCATGAATTTATCGTGTGATGTCGAGGAAAATTAAAAGACATTTGCATGGGTGCAAATTACTATTTTTAATTTTATTTTAAAAAGAAAAAGAAAAATATTGTAGCAGTAGACAAGATGGTCTCTATTAAAACTACTCCCCATTCGCATACTCAGCTTTCTACTGCTTTCATAGATTCCTGTAACAACTAGGCATATCTGTTGATTATCTTGTTGCCAAAAAGCTCGACTATAAAATCACATTCTTCATTCTTCGGTGCTTGTAAGGTAGAGCCTCTTTCACAGCAGAAATCCCAGAATCACGTGTTTCTGGCTTTCATGTTTCTCCTTAGACTTAAAGTTCCAGCTAGATGTCTTTTATATCAGCTTTTCTTTAGTTGCTCAGAACAGTTTCTCAGGTAGTTTCCTAATTCAGCCCAAATAACTGACATAATGGGCAATATCCATTTAAATTCCCCAGAGTTTGGTGAGTGTCAATTTCTACAGCTGAAAAGATGGTCCCTGTAATTCTTCTATGACCATTTAACCTCAGCTAAATCCCAAACCTTCATATGTGCTCTGGTGTTTGCTGTTTCCCAGAACATCTGCAAAGGTCCTTAAAAAAACAGAGATGGGTTAGTAATCTTCTTTATTAGGTTAATTCAAAGCAGAGCTGTGACTTTGTTCTTTTCTTCTCAGGTGCTCACTGTGAATCGGAGGTCAATGAATGCCTTTCAAACCCGTGTCTTAATAGGGCTATTTGTGAAGATCGAGTTGGTGGTTTCTCCTGCAAGTGCCTCCCAGGTTTCACTGGTGTCTTGTGTGAAAAAAACATCGATGAATGTCTCAGCAGACCGTGTAGGAATGGAGCTACGTGCAGAGATGGTATCAACGGCTTCAGGTGAAAAACAATTGATTGATGTAATACAATGTGGAAAGTCAGATATGTTTTGTTGCTTCAGCCTTCTTACCTTTCAGCAAGGCATTTGGCAACCTGATCCAATATGAATGGTCCCCTTATGCATACTAAAGGAGATTTTAAAAGGCAAGAAAATAAATCCTAATGTCCTGACTCTTAAAAAACTCCAAGGTAGACAGCAAAGAAAATATGCAAAGTTTGAAGTGTAAGCATGGTAGGACCGTATGGTTTTAATATTGATCTTCCAGAAGAAATCTTTCCCAAGCTTCAAGGATTTGTCATGCTTTCCACTAGAATAGCTGATGACCAGTTATGTGCTAGATCTATCTATCCTAGATCACTGTAGAGATAGATGCCCAGCTGTTACTGGTTGGGTTTAATAACTCTTTTCCTCCCCAAAGCGCCAGAAGTTTTGATACCTTTCAAACACTTTGGTTTTCCAAGTACCAGAAGTTTCAGTGCCTTTCTGCTACCTTGGTTTTCCCTCAGTGTAAGCAGCCTGAAAAGGGAAGCGCCTCTTGTCTGTAATTCTGTGGACTCTAGAAGACATGCTTCCCTCACAGGAATGCAATGATTGCCTCTCTCAATTTTATATAAAGAAAAGCAGACACTGTGTTTCAATATTGTATTGTTCCTATGAAAAAGAAATATTGTGCAGCTAATAGAATACGAGCATACTTAAAGGAACAACCAAAATAAACTCCATTAATTCTGCAGTATCTCTTCTGTTGATTTTTTTTCCCTCAATGTATGCCATTTCCATTGGTGAACCTGGTCTTATGGCCAGGATTCTTTGTTGTGACCTTTGAAGTATGGTTCTCTTTTCCTCCATAGGTGTCTGTGTGTGACAGGGTACACAGGACTAAACTGTCAAGTGAACATCAATGACTGTGACTCCAGTCCCTGCTTAAACCAAGCCACCTGTGTGGATGCCTTGAACTCGTACGTTTGTAAATGTCCTCCTGGCTTTACAGGCAGCAGGTGTGAAACAGGTACACAGGACCAAGTGTCAGAAAAAGGTGGCTTGACTAAGTCTCTGGGCAAGATTTGCTGGGCTGATTTCCTACAGCTTCCCCAGAAAGCGACTAGGGTGGTGGGACTCTGAGAGGCTGAGTGGAGCCTGTGTGACTGGAGTGTTAATAACTGTAATTGCAGATAAGTAACAGCATATGTGCTATATCATGTTTATATTCATTTCTCTTTCCAAAGGCACAGTTCTATCTTTTTGATACCTAGTAGGTCTATCGAGTTTAATTTTTATTTGCTCTGTGTATCTGAGTTACTTAGCTCTTTCTGTTTCTTGTATTTCATGGAGGGTTTTGCATCACACGGTTAGAGATTAGTACGTGATAGTCTCAGCTTTAGAAGTCCTAAAGGCATTAAGTTCCCTATGAGCAAAAGGGCATCAAGTTCCCTATGGTTGGGCAAAATGGGTCATATGTAGTGCAACTTCCTGGATGAGGCTGGAGTTAGGCAACACAACCATGAGGCTCAAATCCATTTGTCTTTTAGCCACTCCATGAAAATTGTAAAGTGTTACACTAGTAGCTGGTGAATCTTTAAACAGAAGCTGAAGAACCCATGTTGATTTTACAGAGACGGTAGAGGACTTACAGGTCATCATAGAATCATAGAACCATAGAATGGTTAGGGTTGGAAGGGACCTCAAAGATCATCTAGTTCCAACCCCCCTGCCATGGGCAGGGAAACCCTCCACTACACCAGGTTGCCCAAAGCCTCACCCAACCTGGCCTAGACCTACCATCCTATGTCTGAGTTTAATAGCACCCAGCTTTCAGGAGAGCTCCACTTGGTACATTTATATGTATTATCCTTGTAAAGCATGTCACTGCATTGAAGAGTGGCACAGAAGTGCTGTTCCATACCAGTGTAGTATATTTCAGTAAGTCCAGAGCAGAAAAAATTTTTTTTTTTAATCTTGACTTTTGTGAATAAAATCACACCTCTTTGGGTTGGTAGATGGCAAATGGATTATGTCATTTCATTGATAGAAGACTGAAATGCAGAGTTCATGTTCATTGTTTGTTAAATAATCGGCTTCTTTTCCAGTCATTTTTCTTCAAACTCTGTGTGTTTTCTAGCCTTGGAAAGCTCTGCATGCTGGCTGATGTTAGACTGCTATACAATCTTTCTACCTCTGATCAATTTGAAGGGAATATTTTTTGTAGATGATTGCATCCCATTTTATTGCATTTGCTTAGATTCCATTTGATTGTCTTTCTGGGTTTTCAGGAACATCGCTGTGAAAACTCTTGTCTTTGTTGCAGAACAGTCTTCTGGCTTCAATCTTGATTTTGAAGTCTCTGGTATCTATGGGTACGTCATGCTTGATGGTGTTTTCCCATCTCTTGGTGACATCACCTGTGCGTTCTGGATGAAATCCACTGACACCACAAACTATGGGACTCCCATTTCTTATGCAGTGGAGAATGGAAGTGATAATGCATTTCTTCTGACTGATTACAATGGGTAAATCACATTTCTACTTTTCTGTAGCTTCCAGATGTCTTGAATTGATAAAGAAAGCATAGACCAGAAGTCCGAATATCAGCTTTGCCTACTTTGGGGTAGAAAAATCTGCATCCAAACTGCACAGCTGGAGTTGCCTCCCCATTTTGTTTTCTCTGTGAAAAAGCACTGAGTTTTCTCTGCTTTCTCTGTGTTTTTCTCCCATCTACTCTGCCCTGATGAGGCCGTATCTGGAATATTGTGTCCAGTTCTGGGCCCCTCAGTTCAAGAAGGACAAGGAACTGCTTGAGAGAGTCCAGCGCAGGGCCACAAAGATGATGAAGGGAGTGGAGCATCTCCCTTTTGAGGAAAGGCTGAGGGAGCTGGGTCTCTTTAGCTTGGAGAAGAGGAGACTGAGGGAGGACCTCATTCATGTTTATAAATATGTAAAGGTTGACTGTCATGAGGATGGAGCCAGGCTCTTCTCAGTGGCATCCAATGATAGAACAAGGGGAAATGGACATAAGCTGGAACATAGGAGATTCCGCTTAAACATGAGGAAGAACTTCTTCCCAGTAAGGGTAACAGAACACTGGAGCAGGCTGCCCAGAGAAGTTGTGAAGTCTCCTTCTCTGGAGATGTTCAAAACCTGCCTGGACGTGTTCTTGTGTGATCTAATCTAGGTGGTCCTGCTCCGGCAGGGGGATTGGACTGGATGATCCTTTGAGGTCCCTTCCAATCCCTAATATTCTGTGATTCTGTGTGGTTCTGTGATTTGTTTTGCTTACTTTTTGCCAAATAGAATAGTAATGGCAAGAAAGCAGTGAAGTTCAGAAAGTAGGATATTTTTGTCTGGACTGTGTTTGTTTTAGTATGGTATGTAAATGACACATCAAAACAATGGTTGGATGAAACGGAGCTCAGCACTCAGAGTGCTTGTAGTGTAATTCCAAAGGCAGGGATGAACCAAAGGGGCAAGTTTAGGAATCCGCTATGCCGCCATGATTGAGTCCTCATGTTTTGGTACAAAAGCACATTACTTATTTCACCATGCTTTGCATATGAGAAACATAATTTCTGAGTTCTCTGAGAGAGAGCTATCTTGTATGATGATCTTTCAAGAGAGATTTCTTCTATGATGTAGAGATGGTTACCTCATTTGACAAGTAACATTTCTTTGAGTCATGTGGGACAGGCCATGCTTTTAAAGTTGCTGCATGCAACTGAGTATTCCTTCATCTTCCATGCAGCTGGGTTCTTTATGTGAATGGGAAAGAGAAGATCACAGACTGTCCTTCAGTGAACGATGGTAACTGGCATCACATTGCGGTCACGTGGACATGCACAGATGGGGCATGGAAAGTGTACATTGATGGAAAACTGTCTGATGGAGGCAGCGGGCTCTCTGTTGGCTCAAAAATCCCTGGTATGCTTTATTTATATTACACCAGATCTGTTGCCTTCATTCTGTTTTTATTGCAGAATTTGTTATGCCTGCAAGGAAATGTTTGTTTTGGTACTTTCAGTATGTTTTCACATTTTCAACATTTATGCAGGGCTCATGTTTGCTATTCTTGTTCCTGAGGACAGTTCCATCACTCGGCCTCGCTCAAGTCAAAGCACACATTTCTAGGATAAACTAGTAGGTAACTTGTTTTGGGGGTGACAGAGGTTAGTCCACAAGGAACCTCTTCTGAGCTGATATTGGAATGGCATTGTGAGAATATATTTCTCACACAACAAATTGAAGTTTAACTGGCACTTCCCTTACAAATGTGTGCTCAGAATTGATTGAATTGCCTTCTTCTGTTAACTTTCAGACATTTTTTTAAAGTTATGTTTGCATTTTTTCCTAACAAGGTGGGTTTTGCTATTTCATTGTTTCCTGTGATCTGCGGGTTTTCCAGTAATATCAGAAGACATGAAAAGGAGTACTTTCATCATTGAAGAGCCATGAAAGGGCTGATGTTAGGTTCTTGCAAAGAGATTTGGTTTCAATAATGTTTTCATACCATCATCTGAATTTACACAGAGTTTCAAAAAACTATCCATATTAAAAAAAAAAAAGTGAAACATTTTAGTCTGTGTACCTTATGCTTCCCCCTGTCTTTCCCAATTACATTGGAGTTATCTCCAGAGACAAGACCTAAGGAAGCATACAGTCTCCATTACTTTTTGCCCTGCTCCACACACCCTGTGACATACAAAATGCATGTCCACATCATCTGTGCTGCTGGTCAGGGGTGAAAATTTAACGTGTATGGCATGTCACAGTGTTGACTGTCTAATCACTAGTGTGCTTCTGAGGGTTTGGAATCAAATTTGTTCTATCTGACTTTCTAAGCTTTTGTTTAAAGCAGGAAGTGCAAGCTAGCACTGTAGAATATGTCTCACCTGCTCAAAACTGCATTTTGCATTGCTCTGTAATATGTTTCAAATACTGAGTTAAAGTAATCTCCTAGAGCCAATACTGTTCCTGAAGCAGCCATATAAAGCTTGTAGTCTGGTCAGTGTGAGTTTAGCATTAATGCCTATAGTCTCTTCCAAATTGTTACCCTCACTTACCTCAGTCTCGCATAAGGCTTCCCAGAGGTTTACTGAAAGAATTTGTTGAAGGTTGCTGGACTCCTGCACTACAAAATCTTAGTAAAATAGGGTAACAAAAGTTTTGTTTTGCTTGGTTTTTAATCTTCCTACGGGGATCCCTGCTGTAAGGTTTTGTTTCCTATCCCTGTTCTAATTCTCTATGAGTTTAGGTGGTGGTGCACTTGTACTGGGTCAAGAGCAAGATCAGAAAGGAGAGGGATTCAACCCAGCTGAGTCTTTCGTGGGCTCCATCAGCCAGCTCAACATTTGGGACCACGTCCTGTCTCCACAGCAGGTACGTCCTTATGGCAGTGTTTGAGCACAGGGCTCTGCTTGTAAGATGAACGTTTGAAAAGGCATTCAAAGTTAACATATTGGATAGACCTCTGTTCCCACAGAAGTCAGTGAGGACCAGGTGAAGTTCTGGCTTAGGGTAATAAGCTCATTGTAGTAAATGGAGTAGCTTTAAGCAAAACTAGGTGTGGTAAAATCAACACTGAGTTACCTTCTATTCTGACTGAGCCTTTCGGTATTACGTAGCTTCGAAAGAGGAATGAAGGCATACACAAAAGCAAGCAGTCCTGTTACAAGAGATAGAAAACCCAATGAAACAAGCTCAGGGCTTGTTTTACAGGTTACTGTTCCCTCATCCTACTGTGTGAAACTTCAGTGGGAAGGTGTCAGAATTTCTGTCCATGCATTAGACACTATGAAAAATCTGACCTATACAGTCCCAGGAAAAGTCTGAGTGGGCAGCATAACCAAATATTGGGCTATTCTTATTCAAGTACCAGAAATAAAGGTTTGGCAATAAACTTAAACGGAGTTAAATGTTAGAATCATAGAATCATAGAAT